GATGAAGTTCCTGCACTAAAGTTATCATGAGGACTCCTATCTCTGGAATTTGCGCGTGAAGACCTACCACTAGGACCATCGAAAAAATACTTCTCGCGTTCACGTCGTTCATCTTCAAAACGAACTGAACGATCAGCTGATGGTCGACCTTGGTTGTCATTGTGATATCCCCCATTGGATCGTGAGTCATTGCGTCGATCATCATTTCGATTTGAATCTGTCCGAATTCTAATAGGTGTTGCAAACTGTAGATCCTCCTCGATCAGAGGTTTCAATGTCTCTAAGGCTTCTTTGAGCGTAGTGATACGAAGTCATTTTAATTCGGATTTATAATCTGGAGGAATCACTTTCATCAATTTTCTAAGCGCTTTATCTTCAATCAATTTTGTGAGAACCTCATGATGTTCAGGGTAGAGAAGCTGCAACGCCTTTCCGGAATTTCGAACGATTTTACTGAGACGAAGGTTGAAACCATCTGCTTCGTCGTACTTCTCTGGATACATATTTGCCATTTTATCCTCAAAATATGCTTGACTATATCGCTTTCTATATTTTTGACCAAGCAAATTCAAAATTTGGTCAGTGGAGTGTACAGTGACCTTTTCTAAATGAGCTCGAGCTGGAAAGCGTAATCGGTCTAGTACAGCAGCGACAAGATCAACATTATTATAGGTAGTACCTTATGATAACATTTCTTTATAGCGGTTTCAAAAGCAAAGAAGTCTACAGAGGATTCGGGGTGACCACTGAAAGTTGGGATAGAATTGAAAGTATCTCTACCACGTAGATATTCAACAAAGTTCGCACCGGCGGCAGTGGTGTTTTCACCTAACGTTACTCTAGTATTATTCAATTGAGCGACCCTGCGCGTTATTTGCGTTATTTGCGCCACCGTTTCCAAACATTTTTATTAATCGGTAGTTCATACGATTTTACAATTACCTAAATAACATGTTGAATTTGAATTTTATTTCTGGCGAAAGAAATTATCTTCGATCGACTACAGTAGTGAGGATAGGCATCCCACTTCTGACACCAAAGAGTGTTACGAACAGACGGGAGTCTGTATCACGCGAGTTTTAGGAAAATAAATTCTACGGCTTACTTTCCTGCGTAGCCTTACCTTCCAATTTTAATGGATCCTAACCTTGAAGATTTGACATCAATAGTCGATCGAATTAACGATTATTTCGACAATTAACGGGTTACTTCTCAAAATTACTATTCAATTGGATTAGGCAGTCAGACATTGTTTATTCAACAGATTGGGATTTAGTTCAATACAAAATTTCTGTGTTACGGTGTATTTCAGCTCAATCTTTGGTTCTTTTATTTCGGACGGAAGAAAAACTCATTGAATCGCTAATATTCTGATTAGATCTATAGAGGAACTAAATTGATGGTAACTAAGATATCTGCAGCTTATTTCTGTTTAGTTATTTAATAGCTATTGTCATCAGAGGGAGACAGTGAAGTTAGATTATCTCAACTGGTTTTTTATAAGCTATTTCACGATTAGTTTAACATGATAGCGCTCACCCTTACAATTCTGTTTCCTCAATATTTTGCGAAGCTCAGGTGTTAACCCAATTTGTGTTCGAAGATTTTCGGTAATTGAGGTCTACTGGTTTTACAAATTTTAAGTTCAAATTTCATTAAGGTGAGAAAACAAGCCACTATTAAAGTTGTCTTTTCGTTTTTTTTTAAGAATTCCAAATTTCACTGTTCAGTTTTATTTTAAAGTTCACTAGGCAAGTTGTTCAAAAATTTAAAATCACCTTGAGTCTTATCTCACAACACAAAGCACGAACCACGAAGATGTGCGTAATTGTTCGTAAGGTTACTGTATCGATCTCGATAGATCGCAAATCTTTCGCACAGTTTACCGGTCGAAAGCCTCGTCATGAAGAGTTGAATTTACTCGCGAAGGGATGGAGTACGGCGTCGGCAGATTTTATCAAAACTATCAAAACGAATACAAGAGTTAAGCAGGGAATTGTTGGCTATGAATCCTCAACCGTGACTGATTAAAAAATTTTACATTTCGGTGGCGTTGTAGTGTCCCGAAAATGCTAAGATAGCACCTTCTGGGCACACGTGCCTATATGTGTGAGTTCTAATTGTTGAGGACAGCAGAGGAATTTGCAGGGTTGGAGGTAACATCCGGTGAGAATGAAATGAACGAGTTTTCAAGCAAGCAGGAATACGAATGAAATTTTCGAAATAAAATTTTATATGTAACACCAGGTTGTATGATATCCATATATGTTGTCGATATGTCGTCATTTTTTCAATTCCGATTCCCCCGATTTTAACGTTCTATAACAAATACCCTTTGAAATGCTATATGAATAGTTTCATCCACTTGACCAATAATTGTAAAAAAATCCACACCGAACTGAATTTACAAGAAACACCACGAAATTCCATTTTTCGATAAAAACTCTCATATGTTAATGAAAAGTAACCTTAATCAAATAATTCAGGGGTCAATTCTAATGTTGCTTGATATATTTTCACCTGAGCTCGAAATATCCCCATAGATTTGAACAGAAAATGAGCAAATCTCATTAATAAAAGGAAAAACATGGAAATTTCCAAAACGTGACGTGTTGAAATCGCTACATTATCTCTTATAACAACAAATCTGGACGCTGAAATAGATGTTGTGTGGTTTCCATTTGAAGAACTTGAGGAGACCTTGAAATCGACGTATGATTCATCTCCGTTGGTTAAAGCCTCAATAAAGGGCAAAAACAGTAATTTCAGAGGTGTGACATAACGTAAGAAATGGGAACAATCTACAATAACTTACTAAAAATTGAATTAAATCATTTTTATGGTACACCATTTTAAAAAACAGTAAATGCTCCCCAAAATGATATGTGGATATTCCTGCCTAGTCCACTTAGGAGCATCGAAAAATCCAACCAAAATTAATTTTCCAAGTGAAACATAAAAATTCTATTTTCGTCGAAAACTCTTATAAGTTAATGAAAGGGGAGAGGCAGTGAGGGGAGAACATGGTTTGTCTGAGTTTCTCCAAACCAATGCTGGTGTTCCCCAAGGATCCATACTTGGCCCCCTGCTCTTCTCTCTCTTCATTAATGACATCAGCGCCTCCATTCTTGAAGCTCAACACCTGCTATATGCTGATGATCTTCAGATCTATCTGCACTGCCACCCATCAGAGCTGCATATAGGCATTGCTCGCCTTAATGAAGATATCTGCCGGATACAGGCGTGGGCAGCGGCAAACCGTCTCCAGCTCAATGTTGGCAAGACTAAGGCTATCTTCCTCGGCGCTAAACGCTTGATTAATGCACTGGACCTGCCTAGTCTGCCTTCGCTTGGGAACCATGTCTCTAGCATTGAGGTGGTCGACTGTGTCAGGAATTTGGGTGTTTTCATCGACAGCCAACCGACTTTCTGCCTCCACGTTCGCCATGTTACCTCCAAGATCAACCGTACTTTCTACCAACTATACTCTCTTCGTGGATACACGGATGCTCCCTTACGCAAGCTGCTGGTAAATGCCCTGATCTTTCCTCATATTTTTTATTGCCTGGGCGTCCTGCAAGGGAATGGCTCTGTACTTGATGGGCAGCTCCAGCGCTTGGTGAATCGAGCCGTGAGATTTGTCCTTGGGTTGCCGAGGGATGCTTCGATCTCTGGCCCACGATGCGCGCTTGGGTGGCTCTCTATCTCGAGCTACAGGACCTCAGCTGTTGCAGTGCTCATGTTCCGGGTAATGGAATCTGGCTCTCCATCTTTCCTGGCTGATCTTTTTGCCGAGTACTTGTCCTCCAGGCCTCGTTGGCTAGTCTTGGCCCAGCAGGCTTTGCTAGTCCCTAATTTCCGCACGGAGACTTATAGGGCTGCCTTGGCAGTTGCTGGGCCCGAGATCTGGAACAGTATTCCTGTGCACATCAGAAACCTTCCATCAGTCATGGCTTTCAAGTCTCACCTGCGACGTTGGCTTTTGGAGAGGGAGCTCTAGCTTAGTGTTGACTTTGCATCACTATCTTCTCTTATAGCTGTACTCTAACCTGAGCCCTCCGCTTCTTCTGCTAAATACTGCTGATTTCTTCTATTTCTATTTAATCTTACTGTATTTCTTTCTTTTTTCTTCACCTTTTGTAATTTTGATTCTACTTCTCTGTATTTTTTTGTTTAAACTTCTAGACAATAAACTTATTAGTTTATCTTATCTTATCTCATCTTAAAACTTGGCACAATTGGGCAAATCAGGTGTTATTCCAATGCTTATTGAATAAGCTTTCAATTGAGTACAGGAAATTTATGGTTCATGAAAAAGAAAGGACTCGATCAAAGAAATCAACGGAAAAATCTTGGTTACGGACACGGATTTTTCTATAGGGGATCAAAAAGTCAAATCATCAAAAAGTTAGTAGTTAGGGCTCAATTACTGGAAAAAATGATCCAAAAAGGTGTTGAATATTTTGGTTTTTGTTATGGTTAATAATTATCATGAATCATTTGGCCCCTCAACCCATACCAATCGTACACCGGTATTGATTTTTTTCTCCTTGAACCTGTCGCGAATGCTCAGGAGTAATGGAAAATACTTCTATTTCAATCACTCATATTATATTCATTTAATTGAGTAATGGTTAATTGAGCCTGGCCAACGACTGGTAACCAACGCTTGGCCGAGATCCGTGCCCAGACCTGGGCCCACCTATGACACCCCGGGCGCCGTGCTTGAACCGAGCCCAACCCGTTCGTTGTTCCCTACCTGGGTATCTTTTGTCATTGACGGTACAAATTTACATGGATCAAATCAAACATATTTTCTACATTTTCAACAAAGGATATATGTGATATAAAGAGTGATATCGTTTGAATGAAGGGATCCGTTCAGCTAACATAAATGTGGTTTCACTCAATATTATCCGAAAGAGGTAACCTGAATAAAGAACTTCCAAACCAAACCATTCATGTAAACCAAATGATCTCTTTCGGGATGTTTTCTTTACATTTCAGATACGTAAGCCCGGATTTTACAGAGGCCAAGACCAAGCGCCCAAGGATACTGTTGCCAGATACTGCTGAGCTCATTGGGTAAACCTGAAACAATGAAATCGTAAAATTAGTGCGGATAAGATTAGGAAGGTTTTAGACGAATTGACATCCTAATAGGGCCCCCTTGCCAACTTATTTTCCGTAGCCAAAATTAGAATCTACCTGGCCACCTTTCTTATAAATGCATTCGATAAATACCCAGATAACCCAAATCAGGTATGGTACAGATACTGTAGTTCAGTAAAAATAGGTAAAATGGGCGTGAAAACACGACTGGACTAGATTTTGACGGAAATTGCATGAGATCCGTGGGAAACTATGGGTGAATTTCCAGCCTCCCCATTCAAACCAAAAGGGTGGAAAAAAATGCAAAACTACTCCCAAAAATAGTTTTTCGTTGATAGCCCTAAAACGGAGGATATTATAAAAATATGTTTCAAACAAAAGGTGTAGAGAATAACATTCTACATAAAACATGTCCAGAGAGTTTTGCTTATACACCCCATAGTACGATGGTTAGAGGGTGAGTGCTACGTTAAAAAAAAATGTAGTTGGTGGAAAATGGTGTTTTTTCTCATTTTTGTATTCTCATTCGCTAATAAAAATGTTAATCTTGCATTCCAATTTTGTTTTTTTTTAATTCTTCAACAAATTATCTCCATTAATAAGATAACTAATTTAACATGCTGGACAGTTATCCTCAAAATTCATGAATCATTATTTTTCAATTTCTAATATGATATTTCCGTTTATTTCCAATAATTTTCTTGATTTTTTTCTTCTATCATATTTTAATAACTATCAATTTTTCAAAAAATTTTATTTTCTCATGGCTTTCCAGTGCCCCGCGTACTACGCCAGTGGGAAATGAAGCGAGAGAGATCTACATATATTCGCGCTCTCTCCCACTCTTTACTCGCTGTACCCGAACTCACGCGAATGCATCGACATATAAACACGTGAGTGCAAGTGAGAAGAATGATTGAGGAGAGAGGTGATTGTTCTCGATTGTCAAAAGCCATTCAAACCACTTCGGAATGAATTTGGAGTCGGCTCCAAATGATTTTTTTCCCGAGTTTATTTTTTGATAATAGTTTTCATCGAAAAAACGAAAGTCTCATTAGTAATTTAATTTTTTTCTTTTTGGAAAGAAAAACAAATGGGAAATTGTTCTTGAATTGTATATAGTATAGTTATTTTTGCTAATAAATTATATCTATTCATCTTCAAATGAAGGTATTATTGAGCCCAATCGATCTCCATTAATTAAAATTTAATTCATGGATTAATTTTTTTTATTTTTTTATTTTTTCATAAAATCGATGATCCCGCGATAACTAAAACAAGTGGATAATTGCATTTCCTGTAAGTGCGTATAGTTTTGTTGCGAATAAATTAGCAATATGCTTCCGAATGTATGGTCTATTTTAGAAATTTTCCTTTTAGTATTATTTTCAACTTCCCGATCCGGAGGGAGGAAGTTATTTGTTGTATACTTGGGAGACAAGATCGTTTGGGTCGTCTTCTGCGTTGGATCCGAGCCCTATGTTCCCTCTCCCCTTCGAGATCTTCATCGTCTGTTTCGCTCTCTGAGCGCTCATTCTGGATCAACTCTTGTTGTAGATCCTCGTGGTCGAAGAATTCAGTGGTTATACTGCGTCCTTGTAATTTGTTATTTTCTTCGATTTGAATTTTCCTACGGGGTTCAGGTAGCTCGACAATTTGATTAATGTCTTTTTTGTGAAATAGACCTGTCTCTTCCTCTTTCACCAGGTACGTCCTTTTCCCAATTTTTTCCTGTACGTGTGCGTGTTTAAAATCTGGCCAAAATACAGTCAAATTGGTCATTCATCCCCCTCGGTAATTATCGATCGTTATCGTCAATCATCGGACACGAACGAGGCGTTCGTCCGTGTCGCAATCGTCAGTACACCATCGAACCTCATCTCGGACAGTTACCGTGACAGTTATCGGGACAATTATCGGGACATTATCGTGACATCATCTAATTGTTTTGTGTTATTACAGTCCACTCGGGAAAACTATCTATTTATTTGTTATTGTCAACTAACATTTCAAGTGCAATAATTTGTGATAATTAAACGGCAAATCATCCGAAATCACCTCTTTTATTATTTGTGCACCCACCCCAAATTCACTTCTCCTCCCGACCACCCAACTCCTTAAATTTCGAGTACATTTTAAACATTGGTCCTTCGAGCCGGATAGGGAGTGAATTAGTATGGAAAGTGCAGTGAGTGGGTGCAACGGACTCTGGAAAAAACATCAGTGCAACACGTGGGGAACCACGCCGTAGAAGCCTCTCACTACGGGCTTCACACGTCAACGCGCAAGGACAGCGTAGTGAGAGCATCATCAACGATACGCAGCGCCACGTCAGGTGGTAACTCATCAGAACTCATCATCGCCCGTCGGTAACTCAACGACAATCATCGGCCCAGCGGTCGGTAACGCATCGACAATCATCATCCTCAGTCGGTAACCCATCGGCCGGTTATCACCGCAACATCGGAAATTCGTCGGTAATTATCACAATTTATAAATAATTATCCTCTGAATTAATTCAATAAATCACTATGAGTGAAATCGGAGAGAAGAAGGACGAAACCTGGGCTGAACAGGTGGAGAAGGCCGAATAGAACGACAATGGAAAACCGACTAACGACAAGGATCCAGGAACTTCGGAAAAAGTCGAACCACCCAAGAAAATCATCAGTCCAGGGCTACTAAGATTTGAGTTGACGGTGAAAACTCAATACAGCAGGTTGAGGGGTCTTCAGGACATTATCGGGTCCATCATCACGCCAAGACACAGCATCACTACTTCGATCATCTCTTGGGTCACTCATCGAGACGAAGAGGTCAACGACCTCTAACAATCAGCTGGAAGATCATCGACAATCAGAGGAACACCATCTTGGAGATGATCGACAATCAAGAAAATACCACGTCGGACATTCTCGCCATATGGATACATGGCACGCTGGAGATCAACGACAATCAGAGAAATATCAGGACAATCATCAAGGGCATCAAGTACAATTAGAGCCACACCAGGCTAATATGATGAACTCCCGCAACGTACTGGAGACACAGGGAACTCAGCAGACAGCAACTCATCTAGTAGTCTTGGCGACGGCAAGAGTCAACGCACTCATTCATCATGGACAATCAACGCCAGCTAGGATCCTCATCGATTAGGACTCTGAAATATCACTAGTTTCAGAGCGTTTGGTAAATCAACTACACTTGGAAAGAAGGTCATCACTGTTCATCATCGGCATCGGAGAAACATCATCAGAGAGCACACGTGGTGTCGTGAAACTCGCCTTACAACCGAGACACAATCCCGCTGTGCGAATCATTGTAGAGGCCCACATCCTGAGCACGCTGACGCCGACAATACCGCCATTTGCTTGCGAATCAAAGATTCCTCTTCAACTACGGGAACTTCAATCGGCAGATCCCCACTTCTTAAAACTTGGAGCAATTGACATAATCATCGGAGCTGATACTTATGGAAGAATCTTCGGGGAGAAAATCATCAGGTTTAAAGAAACGAAACTCATCGCTCAGCAAACTAAATTTGGCTGGGTTGTATCGGGTCCAGTTTGCTGCATGAACAGCTCAGAAAAATCATGTTTAAATGTAACGACGCAAACGGCTAATCAACAATTACTAGAACTCCTGAAGAAATTTTGGGTCCAGGAGGAATTACCGGATACACCATCATCATCATCAGTTTTAAGCAAAGCTGAAGCAGAATGCGAGCAGCATTTCATCGAAACTCATCAGAGAGATTCAACAAGGCGTTATATAGTGCGCCTTTCATTCAAATCATCACCAGCCGCACTGAGGGATACAGCATCGTCGGCTAGGATCAGGCTAGAGAAAACCATCAGACGATCATCAGCAGATCCCGACGCTCATACTCTCTACAAGAAATTCACCGGAGCAAAGGCAGACATACTATCTGCCTCATCACGGCGTACTGAGGCCAGAGAGCACCACCACAAAATTGAGAGTGGTGTTTGACGCATCTCATCGAAGCTCATCAGGAGTGTCATTGAATGACATACTTCATCCAGGATCGAAACTACAAATTGACAGCTCTGACGTACTCATCTGGCTGCGTCGACATCGTTTGGTATTTGGAACGGATATTGAGAAAATGTTTCGCCAAACCCGTGTTCATCAAGACGACTAGGACTATCAACGAATCTTTTGGAAAGACAACGACGGTCAACTCATCGAATACCAACTGACGACAGTCACTTACGGTACCAGCTGCGCACCTTGGCTCTCTCTACTGGTGCTGAAGCAGTTGGCCATCGATGAAGGTCATCGATTTCCTTTGGCCTTACCGACATTCACCAAGGGAAGATATTTCGACGACATATACGGAGGTGCAGAAACAGAATATCAACTGGAGGAAATCATCAAGCAATTGATCGATCTCTGCATGGCGGGCGGCATGCCGTTGCAGAAGTGGTGCTGTAATGTACCAAAAGTACTGGAACGACTCGGATTATCATCAGGATCAGCTCCAATCATCGAATTCGAGGAATCAACAGTGAAAGTGTTGGGACTTTGCTGGCAACCCAACTCTGACACTTTTCATTACAAGGCTAAGAACTTCAACGGGGACACCATCACCAAGCGCGTAATTTTGTCCGAAATTGCGCAAATCGACGATCCACTGGGACTCGTTGCGCCGGTTAAGGTCACGGCAAAGATACTCATCCAGGAATTATGGGTGCTGAAACTTAACTGGGACGATCCACTTCCAGATGACTACAAGGATCGCTGGAAATCATTCAGACAGCAGCTTCAACAATTGAGCAGCCTCACAATACCACGGTGGCTTCATTTCACGCCCAATACAATGGAAATTCAACTTGACGGATTTGCGGACACATCAAACTTGGCGATGGGCGCATCGGTTTACCTTCGAACTTCATCAAATACAACGGGAACGACTGTCACTCTAGTTCGTGCCAAGACTAAAGTGGCGCCACTTAAGAAACAAACCATACCACGACTGGAATTGACGGCAGCGGTTATGGTTACTGATCTTGTGGCTTATGTCAAACGTATACTGGACCTGGACAACGTCGAGATCTACTTATGGAGCGACTCATCGGTAGCCATCACATGGATCAACGGGGAAGCATCTCGATGGAAAGATTTCCTGCAGAACTGAGTTCTTAAAATACGGAATACTCTGCCTTCTACAACATGGAGACATATCAACGGAAAGTAGAATCCAGCGGACTGCGCATCAAGGGGTCGATCACTAAAAGAACTGGCGGAGGACCATCTATGGTGGACAGGACCACGATGGCTTGTCCTGTCACCAGACAGTTGGCTAGCATCATCTGTGGACTTAGCATCAACGACGGAAGTATCATCAGAGGCGGCTAAGGAAGCAAGACCGCCTATTATCAGCTCACATCCAGTGCAAATCGCTGAGAGAGATGCACTGATCATCAGATACTCATCACTAACAAAGCTTTTGCGGATTACAGCCTGGGTAAATCGAGCCGCTAAGCGCTTCCAAGGGCAGCAACTACTGGATTCTCCACAATTGGACCACAAGAACTCGAAGATGCAAGTCTGTATTGGGTGAGGCACACTCAACAGCGATACTTCGAGGCGGAAATCAATCAACTGAAAACGGGAAACTCACTGGCAGCAAATCATCGTATGGCAACGCTGACGCCATATTTGGAAAACGACGTCATGCGCATGGACGGACGTCTACGAAAATCAACGTTAGATCCGGAGGAGAAAAATCCAATAATTCTCCCTCGTCATTCACCACTCTCATCGCTCATCATCGCAGACGCTCATCAACGGAGTTTCCATGGGGGAACTCAACTCACATTGGCACATATTCGGCAGAGATATTGGATCATCGGTGGGCGAGCTCCAGTACGCTCACACATCATCAAGTGCGTGACTTGCGCACGTCATCGGGGATTGAGAGCTCAACAGCTGATGGGACAGCTGCCGGCACGACGAGTGATGCCATCAAGAGTCTTTCTTCACTCAGGAGTAGACTTTGCCGGCCCAATCAACATCCTGAGATGAAGAGGATCAGGAGCAAACAAGACAATGTATAAGGCTTACATCTGTCTGTTTGTCTGTTTCGCAACATCGGCTCTTCATCTGGAACTAGTAACGGATCTAACAGCGGAGGGGTTCATCGCAGCATATAGGCGCTTCACTTCAAGAAGGGGAATTTGTGCAACCCTAACCAGTGACAGGGGGATCAACTTCATTGGGGCAGAGAAAGAACTAAAGCAACTCTTTGACCAGGCATCAAGCGAATCGACTATCATCGGGGATCAGCTAGCATCAGACGGAACTACTTGGAAATTCAACCCTCCCTACTCGCCACACATGGGAGGCAAATGGAAAGCTGCGGTAAAATCAACAAAACATCATCTCAGATGAATCATCGGAACCTCGACCCTGACGTACGAGGAATTTACGACTCTTCTTACTCAGGTCGAGGCTATACTCAACTCAAGGCCACTCTGCCCACTAACCAATGACCCCCAAGACACATCGGCCTTGAAACCAGGATATTTCATCATCGGAGAAGCGCTCACAACAATTCCGGAACCATCACTACAGCAAATCAACACGACGAGACTCAACAGGTGGCAAATCATCTCCCAGAAAATTCAAAATTTCTGGGAACATTGGGCACGGGAGTGCATTCATCGATAGCAAATCTACAGGTGGAAACAGCCAACGAACGAAATCAAAATCGGTTCGTTGGTCCTCATCGTGGACGAGCGGGAGCCACCAGCTAAATGGCCCCTAGCTCGAGTCATCGAAGTTCAACCGGGACAGGACAACCTGACGAGAGTCGTCAAACTGAGGAAAGTCAACCAGGAAGTTCAACGGGCAATTCATCGATTGTTATCATTGCCAATCAACGATGACCTACTGGAAGGTCAACAGTGAATCTCATCATCTATATATCGTCACCGAGGGGTGACGCAGGGCGGGCGGGATGTTTAAAATCTGGTCAAAATACAGTCAAATTGGTCATTCATCCCCTTCGGCAATTATCGATCGTTATCGTCAATCATCGGACACGGACGAGGCGGTCGTCCTTGTCGCAATCGTCAGTACACCATCGAACCTCATCTCGGACAGTTACCGTGACAGTTATCGGGACAATTATCGGGACATTATCGTGACATCATCTAATTGTTTTGTGTTATTACAGTCCACTCGGGAAAACTATCTATTTATTTGTTATTGTCAACTAACGTTTCACGTTTAATAATTTGTGATAATTAAACGGCAAATCATCCGAAATCACCTCTTTTATTATTTGTGCACCCACCCCAAATTCACCTCTCCTCCCGACCACCCAACTCATTAAATTTCGAGTACATTTTGAACAGTGCGATTACCCATTTTGGTCCTGATGCTCGATAGTTTTTCATTTGTAGCCTCACTCCAATTGGTAATTCTCGTATTTTTAGGGTTTGATCATCATGTGGCCTCTCGTCACTTGGCTTGAGGACGTCCAGGGCAGTGCGCAGAGGCCTTCCAAACATTTCTTCAGCTGGGCTCTTTCCTGTTGTGGATGATGGGGTCACATGCTGTTTGAGGAGTAGTCGTGGTAGTTTAACCTCCGAGTTGCCGTATGAGAGTTTGTTGAGGGACCTTTTTGCAGTATGCACCATCCTCTCTGCTTGTCCATTCGATTCTGGATTGTATGGAGCGATGTAGATGGACTTGATCCCATTCTTCTTGTAGAATTCCTTGATCTCACTGGATGAGAATGCTGTCCCGTTGTCGGATACGATGGTGTGGGGTAGATCGAATGTTGCGAAAAGGTCTCTCAAGGCTTTGATGACCATTTGTGAATTCGGTGATGGCATACGTTTCACTTCTAGCCATTTCGTCGTGGCATCAACAACAATCAGGAATGTTTGTCCTGCGATTGGTCCCGCGAAGTCAATGTGAATTCGTGAATGGTTTGTCAGGTGTTTTCCATTTTTCAACTGGTGCTTTTGGTGGTGATGACAGTACTTCCAAACATGGTTTGCAGTTTTTCACCATATTTTCAATGTTGTCGTCAATACCAGGCCACCAGGTGTATGATCTAGCTGCTGCTTTCGTGCTGCATATGCCAGGGTGGTTGGCATGGAGATATTGAAGTATGGTGTCACGTAGTTCCTCTGGCATTACTACTCTGTTTCCCCAGAGTATGCAGCCTTTGTGTAACGACATTTCCTGTCTCTTGGACCAGTAGTGCTTGTATATTTCTGGTACCTTTTTCTGGTACGGATGGCCAAAAAGGCCATCCGTCCACCAGCCATTTTTTAATTGGGTCAGGATCTGGTCCGTTGATGTGCTTTTGGCGATGTCCTCTGGAGTGATTGGATTTCTTGATACGTTTTCAATCATGAATACTTCCTGGTAGGACTGTTCTTCATCCTGTAGTTCCTCCTCGAGTGGTAGTCTTGATAGGAGGTCTGCGTTTGAGTGTTTATTGCCAGGACGATGGAGCAGTTCGTACCTGTAGGCACTCAGTGTAGCTGAGTATCTGCTCAGTTTCGGTGAAATAATCTCTGGAGTGGGTTTGTGGGGGTTGAAGATGCTGCACAATGGTTTGTGATCGGTCTACAGAGTGAACTCCCTGCCAGCGATGTAATAATGGAAATGTTTAACTGTTTCCAGGAGTCCTAAGGCTTCTCTGTCGAATTGTGAGTACCCCCTCTGGCATTTTTTCAATGTTCGTGAGAAGAACGCCACTGGGTGTTCTTTTTTATCTTCTCCAATGATTGCGAGTACTCCTCCAATACCAGTGGGTGATGCGTCAGCTGAAACAACGATCTCTCTCTCTCGTCATCATAGTGATGGAGTATTGGTGCTGAAATTAATTTGTCCTTCAGTGTAGAGAACGCCAGTCGATGATCTTCTTTCCATTCCTACGGTTTTTCCATGTCAACGAGACGGTGTAGAGGCTCTGCAATTACTGCTCTGTCTTTTATGAAGTCAGCGTAGAAGTTTAGGCCACCTAGGAACACTTGGAGTTCTTTAACGTTAGAAAGTGTTGGTATGTTTGATATTGCTTTCACCTTGCCCTTCAATGGCTTTACTCCAATGTCCGATACTAGGTATCCCAGGAATTCCATTTCCTTAACTCCAAAGATGCACTTTTCTTTGTTGATTATGAGATTAGCGGATTCCAGACGTTTCAGGACCTGGATGAGTCTTTCATCGTGCTCTGTATCAGTCCTGCTTTAGATTTTGATATTGTCGAGGTAGATCAATACTCCAGGGATGCCTTGCAGGTGTGTTTCTATGAATTTTTTGAAAATTCTGCGTGCAATGTTCAATCCGTCCAGCAAAACGTTGACGTTGAACAATCGTTTTGGTGTACTGATGGTGAGGATTTTTGATGTCTCAGAGTCCACTCGTATCTGCTTATAGGCGTTCTTGAGGTCAATTTGTGAAAATTTTTTTCCTCCATTGAGTGTAGTCATTACTTCTTTGACAGTAGGTAGCGGATACTCTGCGTCGGTGATGACCGGGTTCACTGCGACCTTGTAATCTCCCACAACTCTCAGCTTCTTCTCCAAATTCTTTGGCACGAACAGTACTGGTGTTGCCCAATCGGATTGGTCTGTAGGTGTAATCATACCTTGCTTTACCATGTCCTCCAGTGCTTCGCTCACCATTTCTGTAATTCCGAATGGTATTTTTCGTGCTTTGAAGAATTTTGAATTGCAGTCTGGCTTTATCTGGATGTTTATGGGTTTTCCAGCATGTCCTGAGAGTGTTGGTGCTGTTAGAGCCGGGAATTTATCGAGAATCGTTATGTAATCAGTCTCAGGGGTTAGTTGTGCTGTTTGTATTCCAGTTACAACAATGTCAAAAGGTTTAAACCAATTTTCTCCGAATAAATTGGGTCCTTTTTCTTCTGAGGTGATGATCAAAGGTAGTCGTCTTGTAGTGTGTTTGTATTGCACTGTGACTGTCGTTATTCCCTTTGTAGCTGTTATATCCAGGAAAATTATTAATTCCTTCTTCTTATAAATATTTTATAAGAACTTAAATCTAAATGCGTCCTCGTTAAGAGTCCAATGAACTATACGCGTCGAATAATGTAAAAAAAAATGCATGACATCTCACAATCTCTTTTTAAAAATAGCCATGTCAAAACGAACAATCAGCATTATTGCAACCTTATCGCCTCTTAGTAACAACAAAATAGCCGAGTAGAGTCCATAAAAAGAAAAAGAAAAGAACAGCGGTCACCGACCTGCCACGCAATTGATGGAGTTGCAATTTTCATGCAATCCCCACTCTTCAAAATTTACGAAAAATCACGACCGAACTATCCTCAAAAATTTTGAAAGAAGTCAGTCGTTCTCCACTCTCCAGAACAATTAATTATCTTCAATCCGCGAAATCGGTCTCTCAGTTTTCACCCCATAAGAAAAATAGACTTTTTCTTTTTCGGCGATTTTACGCAAAAGAGGTGATATAGTGAAAATTTGACTGGGCAAAGTGTAGCCTCAAATCAAGATTAGTGCTTTGTGGAATTTTGTGGAACGCACTCAAAAATTGAAACGAAAGTTGAAGTAAAAGAGGAAATTTTATTACAAGTTAAAATAGTGGAAGAAGAAAAACTATAGAGACTCGTAGAACCCGGATAATTATAGGTGTCACAGCAGCTGCTTGGTAAGCTGATTTAAGGATTGAGTTATCAACAAAGTAGTAAGTCGAAGAATCCACACCAATTTGATTATATTATCAAAATTTCAATCAGCTCAGAAGTTTTCCAGAATAGAATATTTAGAATCAATAATTTTTCCCATAAATAATCTCATAAAAATTATTTGAAGTTGAAGTACTATTATCGAGAATAAAATCTGTAATTTTGATGTATAATTAAAAAATCTCATCCGTAATATATATTAAATTTGGGTCTTTGATAAAATCAGGTGTTTTATGGTTTTTGGCAATAATTCTTTCTGTACCAAAATTCCTTCATCCTGAAAATCCCTCAAGTAAATTCCATTAACTTTCAAATTGATTAATTTTCATAATCTAAGCAAAATAGTCAAAATTTAGCGTTGTCCTTAACTAAAAATAAAACTCAAAGTGAACATGAGTCTAGCACTTTTTACTTTGTTAAAATTCCATTCGTTAGTTCGGTATAAATATTTGCAAACAAAAATTCACGTTACCTCTGACGCTTAGCAACGTCTCCGGACATAACAAATAGAATTTTTGGCGCAGTCGGTAGGACCCGTAAAACGCACCCACACTTCTCTTTTGCTTATTAAATTTTTTTTTGTTTTGTTTCCTCTCTCCTTTCTCCTCCGAACATCTGGAGTTGAAAACTCTTCGTTCTGACGAATTATAATTTATTCAGTCTAAGATAAATAGACATTCTCAGTTTCATGATGTCATCTATAAATACCTCATATATAGGGAACCCGACAACGGAAACGTTTGGGTCCCACGAAGATTATATTAGAGCTAAGGATATCGCAAATTTATTGCCATTTTTTTCTGGTACTCTTGAATATGCATCCTTCGAAGAATTTGATCAAGCCCTTAGAGATCAGTTTGTTTCCATCCCAACAGCAGATGGAAAGAAGGAAGAATATATTCATCAAATTTTAAGACGAATTTTGCCACCTGCATGATTAGCCCTAGCCCAGAGAGATATCCATTCCGTATCCAAAATCTAAGATATCCTAGCCAAAAATTATAAGAAAACACATGACGTGTCATATTACACCAATAAAATAAAATATAGTTTGCACATGTTTGTTGATGAGAATCTGGAGGATTTTCTAAGACGATTGGCATTATTGGTGGAATATGGTCTGGATTCTGCTGTGAAAACCTTCGGTGAGCCAGGGAAGGCTCACTACGAGAAGCTATTGCATCATCATGCAATACAACGCTTTCTCGAAAACGCTCCACCACAAATCCAAGATGCTATATTCACGAAGAAGGCGGAAACTATAAGTCGAGTCCTGGAGATCTTGGAGGGGGAAATGTACTACAAAACGACGCCGATTTTCTCAACAGAGAGAATACCACGCAGCAGCCAATACATCCACAATGGGGATCATTTCAGTCAACCATCCTCATGCAATGGGCCATATCAATCACAGTACCCATGCCAGCAGTATCAGTATCAACAACGAGGAAGGAATCCTGAGAGAGCTTACCATCTAAAACAAAATTTCGGGAATAAACCGTCCAACTATCTGACCGATTATTCCGACAATGATTATGTCATTCCACCAAGACAGCCAGCACGACAATCTCCAGTGCGTCCAAGACCAAGGGGACCACCACCTGTAACACCTGCCAGACCTGTCACTCCTGTCATATCAGCTGATATCAATGAGGTCGGATTCTGTGGAAGAAATTTCCATCAAGAGAATGGACCAGCTGAAAGGTTTTCAGTTATGGGAGAGCTATGTCAAGTAAGTGAGGATTTAGAACAGCGCATCAAGAGAGTACTTTCTGACACGATGCGAGCAACTGCAACAGATTTTAATGATCCTAAATCTTCAAGTCCTGGTCATCTCTCTCATTATATCAATCGAATCAAGGCATGTATCGCTGAACTTGGAAAGGATCCCAATTATTACCGAGATAACTCTCCAAGAGGTAAAAGCCCATCTCGTAGCTTTCCTCGTTATCCAAAGTCACCCCGAAGAGGAGATTCTCAATCAAGTGATGAACCAGTAGCCGAGAGTTTCTCAGGAATTGCAGCCGTATCCCTGATAACAGATGAACTGGAGAAACGCATGAGGAAGCTACTGTCTGAAACTAAGAAGGAAACAGTAGACGAATATTATCCACGTAAAGAATCCAGTGCCGGGCATTTCTCTCGTTATCTCGATAAAATCAAATAATGTGTTGCAGAACTTGAGAAAGACCCCTACTTAGAAGATGACAGACAGTATAGAGATAGAAGGCCGTCCAGCAGATGTAATAGTCTAACTAGGTTTCAAAACTCTTCACAAACGAGTCCAGCATCTGTTCCCCAAAACATCCTCTCTCAAGATGATTTAAACGGGGATCGTGCCCGACGCAACGGCGCATCGACGGGCAATCAGAACCAGCGCCACTCCCTAATGGCAGGGAATCTCCGACAACATTAAGAGAAGAGACGACGCTTTTTGATGATGGAGTAGGTCCTCAAGTAACTTTGCGAGGTCTCTTTTTCCATCAAGAAGAAGTATCAACCCTTATCGACACCGGATCTTCTGTCAATTTAATAGCATTAAATTATTTGAAACCAGATGCGCCATTCGACTCAACTATATCAATTAAGATAACAGGATTGAACGATGAACTGATGAGGAGCAGAGGCATGATCGACATCGACCTTTTCCCTGACGTCACTGCGAGATTCCACATTATAGACACCATTCCCCACGGATACAATGCCATCATCGGACACGAGTTTCTCGATCAAGTGGAAGCCCATATTTCCTTCCAAGATAGCACAGTAACCCTTTCTCCTAAACCTCTGGAACCTATCCACTTTTATGTATCTTCTTGCCGCCATAAACGCAAATGGTGCAAAATATTGGTGAATGAAGGAGGACCCAGAGTAAGTCTGCATGCTACAGGAGTTCTAGGTGGAAAACAGAAATTCCTCATAGACACTGGAGCTGAGATGAATCTGATCGAGAAAGGGGCCCTCATGGAAGATCTGCCTTTACATCCTCCCCAAGTTCAACACCTTTCGGGAATCACCAATGGCGAATACCTGCTAAATGAACGGTAATCCTGAAGGTCTGCGGGGCGCCCACACTCTTCCATGTGGTAGAAGGTACTCTGTCCTTCGAAGGAGTTGGAATATTGGGACCGGATTTCTTGGAAAAAGAAAAAGTAGACATCAGGTCCTTGCAGAGGAACATCTCAACCCGCCGAGATCCGACAAACCCAATTTTATGGCATGAAAAACTTACTCCAGGTAAAACAGTCACAATTACACCTAGAGTTGAAATGGTGGTGCCTATTCCCATTGAAAACCCGCAACTTGATGAAGGATATCTACCTAGGGTCAATCTTCGAAAGGGAGTCTACTTAGGGGAAGTAGTCATCAAGGTGAAAGCCGGGATTGCATACGCAATGTTGCTCAATACCACAGATGAAACATTGACCTTAAACATACTTCCACAAAAATTGGAGTTTTTTAGCCAAGATCTAAATGAAACTGACGAGGAAGTAGCCGACTATTTCTCCCTACGAGAAAATCACAATCAATTCAGAGATAGGACGAGGGAGCTCCTCGAAATTATTCCCACATACTTGGGAGACAAGTTCGTTTGGGTCGTCTTCTGCATTGGATCTGAGTCCTATGCTCCCCTTTTTTTTTTCATTTTCTTTTCATTGTATTAAAAATATTGTGATACGTTTCGATATCTCCACGTTTGGGTGACATTGAATCGTTACAGATACAGTGATTTATATAGCACAAACCATGTCAATGAGGGGTCTGCAGCGTGTCCTACCCAACGACAGCAGCATCCCTTCGTTACAACAACACATAGATATCAGTAGTCAAGTTGTGCACTTGTCTCCCAAGTATAAAACATTATTGTAATGTTCCCGAAAATCGAAAGTGGAAATTTTATGATTTCACGACGTTTCATGACCCCTAGAAACTTTTTCGACACTTTTTAGAAACCGGTATGTATATGCGGAAGTGTGTGTACGTGTTCTTTTTTTTTTTTAGGTTTAGGGGAATCTTCGATAGATTCTGGTAAAGTGATGGGAAACATCCTGATCTGGAATTTTTACCCAGTAAACCCCCGTTTTCCTCTTTTCTCTGACCCCATACTCCCCCCACGCCCGCCGTTAGGCATTACTTCGCAGGGGTGGTCTCAGCCGCAGCTCTCCCATCAGGTGGTTGAAGACCACCATTGATTAGCTTCCTTCCTCTCGGATGTTCTCATTAGTTCCTCCTGGCCCACTCCTCACGTCGAAGTTCTTTCAGAACTTCGGCTGCGTTACTTTCGGTGAAATCATGACTTTCACCAGGTCTTCAGGTGGGACTCTCTGTTCCACTGCAGTCTCCCAAGTACTGTGAAGCCTTGCAAAGCATTTGCACGTGAAAAACACGTGCTCAGCATCTTCTCCACTGCAGGTCGGGCACTCCGGGGTCTCTTCAAATTTGAATTTATGAAGA